ACAGCTGTGAAGGAGCAATGGAGCTGCACCAGAGAGGCAGGGGCCAGGAACACACAGGGCACCCACGGTCACACCAGGCACACCACGAAGTACGCTTCACTAATCCAACCTCCCAAGCCAGTTGAATTACTACTCAACCACCACAGGGGGCACGCTCTATTTTTGGTGTATAAATCCTCAATTATTAGTTTTATTTTGTGAAATAAAACAAATTTTCATAACAAAATCACAGAATTATAGTACTTAATATCTTGCGTATTGTTATCTTCAAAGTAGTTACTCAGAGTACAAAATAGGGGCATAACTTTTCTCCAATGTTAGCACAAACCTTTCTTTCAGTGAACTAAGAGAAACTAGAAGCATAACTTGTTTTCCTCTCTCTGACAACCTGAATAAGATATAAAGTTACATAATGACTAAATTCATAAATAAAATTAACAAGAACAAAACATAGCAATATGATGCACCAAATTCATGTTTGAAAGAATAGCTTTGAAACAGTCTTCTCCTCTGTATAAATATAAGGTGCTAATAAACGTATAGTAAGATTTCATGACGCATTGTCCACACATGTATAGAAGGGTACTTTATTTCAGTTTATTAATTTGAATTTCAGAAAATTAATCAGCTATTTTATTTTTATTTTTTTCAACTTAGATGTATGACATACAATCTTCAATTCAGGAATTAATACCCAAGATATGTAAGATAATCAATTCAATAATAATAAATATATGTCTGGGGTGAATCATCAAAAGCTAAAATTTTATTCTATTTCCTAAATTCATGAAATAAAATTCAATGAAAAAAAAAATTTGTTTTTTGTATGACTGTCATGATGGCATTTAAATGATTGAAGAGAATTTTAGATATGCTAATTAAGTTGTTGATAAAACTCTTATTGATATACAGTATAATCTACACACTAATGTGTTGCAAGCAATTTCTTGATTTGGGCTAATATTCCTGGAGTAAGTTATCTTTTCATAGTTTTCACTGTTCCTAAGACCTTAGTGAGCACTGTGTTTTTAGTAATAGATCTTATGATTCATATGGTGAAAAATTTTGCATAGTGTTCTTACCCATTCAAAAATGAAAATTAAAAGCTATTCTTAAAGGTTATATCCTAATGTATTTTAAATGAAACAATTTTAATAAAATGCAGCAGATAGAGCATTTTCATGGGCAATTTTTAGACAGAAGTGATTAAGCAATATTGTTATACTATGTTTGCAAACAATGTAACTGGGAGCCACCAAAATCCTTCCAAAAATACAAGCTTTTTAAAAAGCATACAGCAGGTTCAGTAACAGTGAACGATATAACATGTGTCTAAGTTTTTATGTGTCAATGTCCTACTATGCAGCTGGAGCAGGTAAAACAGGTCAACGAAAAGCAACAAACTCAACTTTAAAAAAATTAATGTGGATAGAATTTATTTTCATTTACATATGTTTATGATGAATGTAAGTTTGGTCATTGTTTTGCACAAACAAGCATAAATCTTTCTTTTTCCTGAATCGATGTAAACAGAGCCCAGACGGCCGTATTGAAGTCAAAGGTCAGCGTGGAAGCTCATCCCTGCATATTAAAGACGTGAAGCTGTCAGACTCGGGCAGATACGACTGCGAAGCTGCGAGCAGGATCGGAGGGCACCAAAAGAGCATGTACCTCGATATTGAGTGTAAGTCCTTTTGAGTTCATATTCGTTTTCTGCTTTGAAAAAGTGAATTTTATAAAAAATAAAAAATGAATTAAACATGGGCTCAGGAGATAGCTCAGTAGAATAAGTGCTTACCTGGCAAGTGCAAGGTCCTGAATTCAATCCCTGGTACCACAAAATAAATAAATAAATAAACATGTAAATGTAGTTTGTATTTCACTGATTAAACATGGCATTACCATATTCAAGGTCAGTTACTACAGAAATCTAGTGGATATAAAGGGAAATTTCACGGTATTTTATAATTAATAGTCCATCCTGAAATCAAGGATTTACTTTTCTTTAGAAAATTTTCACCATAAACACAGCAGCAGGTGGACTACTAGTTATCAATAACTTGTTAAATGTGTTTTCTAATAATATGACATAGTTCTGTGCCTCCGATATTCAGGTATTGTTTTCATTTCTATTCAAGTTGTATAGTTGAATTACCTTAGATCCTTATAAGATATAAGATACTATTGTAAATAG